CCCCAAAACCCCAAAACCCCAAAACCCCGCTTAACGATTATATAAGTGAATTCAGTTAGTATATTGGATTGATGTAAATAAAAAGGATTAATAACTGGATTTAAATCAGATTATATTAAATTAATTAAGTATTTTTGCAATGAAAAACTGTCAAACAGAGATATAAAGCTCTGAAGAGAAACGAAAAAGAGAAAGGTCGGCCTACAATTTAAAGAGCATTACATTCTTGCTGGGCCTAATGAGTAACACCTAAATAACAAACTCAAACAAAGAAAAAAGCTCTGAAAACAGTTCAGAATTCAAATAAATATGCAACCTTATGAGTCAAAGTTTCCTCGAAATATGGGGGGAAGACAATGATCCATCTCTTCAATACTTCCCGTCAATATAACCCTTTACAGACTACAAAATTATCATGCAACAGATGAGGAGAAAGAAGGTCTCTGGATTATTATTTCTATCATGTCTAATAAATCTTATTAACTTGCTGCTGCCTGAGAGTTCGCCCAAACAATATCAAATATAAAAAATGGAATATAAAGATTATGAATCCATAAATTTGCAGGTGACCAGAGAATATGCCGAGTCATATTCTTCAATAAACTACAGCAGATACATAATAAATCTGATTATTGCATGCAGTATTTTCTGTTTTTCAATCTATGTAGTTTTCTGTAGTCACATTAACTTTTCTGGTACATAAAAAGGAATATACAGGCTTTTCGTATCATTAATTGCACAATACATCACGGTAATTATCAAGCTAAATATCACTTGCTAATATTATTGTAGGCATTTATGTTTGTACTATTTCCTTAAACTTTCTCTTATTAATTCTTTGTGAATATGGTGCTCTTGTTCACAATGCTGGTTAAGGAGGGATTCTCTTCGAGAATCCATACCATAATACTCTTAGGGAATACATTCCTGGTCAATTACTTAGCCATCGAAATGTTTTCTTTCTTTCAAATGGAATAACAATAGGCAGATGGTCACATTATGGTAAAACCATACATAAACTAACATCCTCATAGGCTTTTATTGGATTCGATGAATTAACAAGAGTATATCTAATTTCGCTCATAACCTTGATTCTATCCATAGTCTAGATATAGAAACTGAATAACAGTCTCGTTAAAAGACTTGTTGAGAAAATTAATAGCTTGCAATAAAGTCTAGATATTAAAGATACCTACAATGCCTCTATGATTCATGAGCTTAGAAATCCCCTCAACGCTATCTTAGGAGCAATCGGCCTACTCAAATATTCTCGTAGTCTTTCAAAGGAAGACCATGAAACCCTTAACATTGCTAATATGAGCGGAGAAATTCTTATTACTCTAATAAACAATGCATTAGATGGAGCGAAAATTGAAGCAAATAAGCTTGAACTTGACGCACATAGAAACGATATTGTCGAGACATTAACTAAGTCTGCAAGTCTTTTTTAATGGAAGGCAAAGGAGAAAAATGTCAATATATCCCTCAAAATAGGGAAGAAAATTCCTAATTTAGTCGAAATCGATGAGGCAAGAATCACCCAAATACTAGTTAATATTATCGGGAACGCTGTTAAGTTTACCCCAGAGAATGGAAGAATTAAAGTCAGAGCAAGATTCATCCCTGAGGATAGTAATCTTATGATCAGAAGATCATCATAAAGTAAGTTTATCTGACAATTAACAATATTTCAGTGAAAAGTTCAAGCTCTTACATCGAAGACGAGGAATATGAAGAAAAGTTCTTTGACAATAAAGAACTTTTATAGGACATGGGATAGAACTCTGAGGAACTAGGAGAAGAAGATTAGAGATCAAACTTCAAATTTACTTAAAATGGATCACACACTCCCATTGACTGTGAATTAGATTCTTTCACAGACAAATCTGTAGAGCCCTTAACTAGCATTTAACAGCTTCTAAATCCATAGAATTAGGGGAGACTAAATTTTAAACATGAGTCATTCACTAGTCTAAGTAATATTGAGTCCATTGATGAAAGACAAATCAGATCCAAAAATCATATTAGCGAGAGAGAGATGGGTTTTAGAAACTCATTTCATGAATGGTCAGCATATTAAGTTGCTGGAAGTCCAGGCGATGTATTTAAACAAACTGCCTTAAACTAGATTTAATCATCAGATAGATCAGTATAAAATGCATTAAGCTCTGTTGAGCACTGCTCAGGAGCTGTCAACCATATTTAAAATTAAAATCAAAGAAACTCAGCTGACTCAAGTCTTAATGAGGCCCTTAATAATTCTCTTAGGTATAAATTATTGAAGAGCCAATTCAAAAATCAACAGCTACACAGCGGGAATGTAACTAGAGATCTTTCTACTGTTTCTTTGGATTCAATTCATGCCGACGATCAATCATCATAGCAACTTACCTTGACAAGCTAGTAAACTAATTCTAACAAGCATTTGCAGAGACGCAAAACTCCGACAAAGTCTAAATTTTATCAATAAAATGAGATTAATGGATAGGAAGATGATAGTGAATAAGAAGAGTTTAAGTAAAGCTTGCAACAGCAATTCAATCAATAATACTCCAGATAGGTTAGCTCTTAAAAGAAGTTTTCTTTCGTGAACATTGATCAGCTCGATGCTTCACAAAATTTTTAAAACGAAAATAATTTGGTAAAATCTGAACAACTTCATTTGAATCTTAAATAAATTGACTAGAATGAGACAAATATAATTTAAGTGGTTAAGGGTAACCTTGTTATAGAAGTCATTGACAGTGGAATAGGGATAAGTTAAGAAGGTATTAAGAAGCTTTTCTAGCCATTTTAGCAGGCAGAAAAATCAATCTAAGCTAAATATGGCGGTACTGGATTAGGTCTTTGGATAACTAACAAGTTAATTAGCTTAATGAGAGGTAATATTGATGTCAAATCAGAATTGAACAAAGGCACAACATTCTCTATGACAATCCCAGTAGTTGGTGAATACAATGACAGACATGATAGCAGCACTAAGGGAAACTAGCCAATAGTTAGAGTTGACGAGGCATCATCTGGATCACTTACTCCAAATAAATAGATTTAAGCTCAACCAATGATAAGATAAATGAATACCGTAAAGTCGGATTCTCAAAGTGAAATCAGCGTTTTACTTTTATAAGATGATGAAATTATGAAAAAACTTTTCAAGAAGTATCTGTAAAAGTAGCAGATTCAGTATATGTTTGCTAAGAACTTCAAGGATTTAATTAGACTTTTCAAGCATTAGAAATATGATGCTTGCTTCATCGATATTGATGTAAGCGTGAGTGTAGAGGATCTAGAAAGTCTAGTTAACCACACACTTGGTTTGAAACCAAATAGCAATAACTATTTTTGCAAAATCTATAGCCTTTTCTCTCGTGATATTGATAAATCAAAAAGCAAGTATCTTTAAAGAAACAATATCAAATGTATAAAAAAACCAATCTAAGGGTATTAAATTAACAAGATTTTAAGAAGAATCAAGACCAATAATGTAAGCTACATCTAAAGGGCAAAATCAAATGTCGGTATGGAAAATCAATTTTATATAGACGATATTTCTCAAAAAACTCCATCAGTTCAAAGATGTAGTTAGAAATAAAAAACCCAACCAATCTAAAAGACTTAGAGATAGATTAGTATTCAACGTGAAATTATGCCAGCCTTAAGAGAGGTTGATTCAATGTTTACTCTTAATAGAAGAATGAGCTCCTCAGAACATAAAGTTTAAGACGAGAGCCCAGATAAAAGAGTTAATAGTGGATAAAATAAATATCAAGAATTAGGATTCCTTAACTTCCAGAGGTAACAATCGAGAGGTGAATCTAGCAATACTCAAATCAATAAATAACCAGGATTCAGCTCTCAGTAGAGAAGTGGACATTAACCGAGGGGAACAAACTCTTCATCCTTGAATTCTTCAATCTAAAATTTCTACAATCAAAACATCGTCCCTAAAATAAACTAAAATATTCAAAGGATTAGAAGATAAGAGTTGCATGATTCATCAAATACTATAGTCTCTGATAGTCCAAGATGCTTGGACATGAACAAGAATCAAAATATTATTAGAAAGAATAGCGCTGCTTTTGAAACTCTGATGATAAAAAATATGAAATTGGTTGAATCTCCCCATTTTAAGGAAACTTATAAGAGCAATCATACAAATTCTGATGAGGAAGAAAAGAAGTCATTTTCTCAAAACACTAACATTCTAACTCCTCACTTCAATAATTAGTCTCTGTATTCTCCATCATTTATAGGTGCATCTGACATTATCTCGATTAAAAGAGACGCTGATGGAGAAATTTTCTAGGAATCCTCTGACAATAATCACTCAAGCAAAAGAGCCAAAATGAGCAGTAGATTAAGTAGAGAGCCAGAGAAGTTAAGTAGAACTCTTCCAAGTGGAGCAGTTGCTGCACCTTAAGTCTTGACTAATCCTTCTTAATTTAAGAGAAAGTCAGATGAGATAATTGAGAATATAAAATTCAATTCAAGCAATGTAGAAGTAAAGTCAGGTTTTAGAGCAGTAATGGTGGTTGATGATAACAAAATGAACCAATTTATTGTTCAGAAAATGCTTGAAAAGGTTCCTGAAATATCAAAAAAGAAGGTTTAAATCCTAACTGCTGACAATGGAGAAGAAGCATTTCAGAAATATCAATAATAGTTTGAAGATAAAACTATAGCCTTAATCTTAATGGATTGTGAAATGCCAATCCTTGACGGGTACGAAGCAGCCAAAAAGATTCGAGAGCTAGAAAATTCCAATAAGTCAGCAGATTCTATAGTCTCTAATAATTGCGTTATTGTTGGCTTATCTGGAAATTCTGGAGAACAACATTCAAGAAAATGCAAACAAGCTGGAATGAATGAAGCAATAACCAAGCCAATTGTATTTGATTAACTACACAATATTGTTAAGCAAGCACTTGACCCTAAAACCAAATCTCAGCAAATCAATCCAATTGGAGGTCTTAAGAAAGTTACATTGACTATGAGTAACAATTAAAATGGTGGATAAAGTCAAAGAATGTACAGCTAAAGCGTCAATATTAGCAACGTTTCTAAATAAGAAAAGTAATTCGTTGATTAAAACAATAAAGCAGTCAATCATAAATCCCAATAGTGAATAAATCTACAAATCTTGCATAGATGAGTTATAAATATTAGTATGACAAGTATTAAAAAATTTGATTTCTACCGATAATTGCTGGTAATGTAAATATAAAGATTGACTAATAATTAAGGAAATTCAGGCATCACAATATCAATGTTTATTGAATTATTTAAATTTAATACCTCCAACTTACCACCTTTTAACAATCAGGCGGGGTTTTGGGGTTTTGGGGTTTTGGGG